TCTCATTGTGACCTTCCAATACTTGAAAGAAGCTTATAAACAGGAGAGAAAAAGGATTTTTACATGGATAGGTAGTGACAGGACAAGGGTGAATTCTTTTAGACTAAAACAGGAGAGATACAGGTTAGACATTAAGAGGAAATTCTTTACTCAGGGAGTGGTGAGGCCCTGGCACAGCTGCCTAGGGAAGCTGTGAGTGCTCCATCCCTGGAGACACTCTAGGTCAGGTAGGATGGGGCCCTGGGCAGCCTGAGCAGCTGGATGGCACTGCCCAGGGCAGGGGGTTGGAACTGGATGGTCTCGAATCTTCTAACTCCAGTTATTCTTTGATTGTACTGTATTTAGAGTCTACATGGAACAGGCTCTACTGCTAAGATCTTCATGCAGAAAATGTACATAAAGCAGGATGCTGAACTGCTGAGATCATCTCTTTGAAGCTCATGCATTTATTTTCCCAAACAGAACTTCTAGCACCAATTTTCCAATGCTAGCCCATCAGCCCTCACACCTCACAGGGCACCCATGAGCTCTTCGGTTTCTCACAGGGAAGAAAGCTCCAAACCTCAACACTGTGCTATAAAATCACTGCTCTGCTGCTCTACTCACAGCAGTAGCGATACAGAAGAATGAAAACACACTTTGTTCTGCTGAACTTCTCTGAAAGAGAACCTCTGCAGTAGTCACCCTTTGAAAAGCCAGGTTTCGTCTTCAAGCCCCAACAGGGGAGCAGTGCAGGAGGCAGAGGCATTAGCTGTTTTTATATGGCATGTGGATAGCAGTAAACAAATTCACCTGAACTTGCTCAGCTAGGTGTTTTGAGGCTCTGCAGCTAACCACGTCCCCACAGAATAATCTCTGTATTCTGAAAAGATGATGCAAATTATTCTTATCCTGAAATTCAGCACAATCTCCTTCCTAATTGAGCAAATGTGTGTGTATTTTGCAGTGAGAGCTCTCTAGTGCATCAGAGATGTAAGCAGGAGGCAAGCTGGTTTGGATTCGGTTTAATTTCCCAAGGGTTATATATTTTAAAGAGTGTAAGCACAAAAAAATGGCACTGATTAAAGGCTAAATCTTATTCTCATTTACAAAGGGGGTGAAGTACAATAATTCTGCTGATACCAGGGTTGTGCTGGAGTGAAAGGAAGATTGCTGGAGACTCCTCTGATGCAAGAAAGCAAATGAGGGGGTTCTGAAGAAGAACATCTGCTTCATGCAGTCTGTCTGTGGGCTATATTCTGCCCTGAATTGCTATGTAAAGTCAGTTTAGCAGGAGCCCAAGTTGACTGGAGCCTAAAAGCAGAACTGCTGCCCCTCTCTTCTAAGTAGTCTAGCAACAGCAACAGCTAGAATCAGTTTTGCTAGAGCCACAAATATCACACCAGAGAAAACTCCAGTTTTGTAGGAGAGAAGACTGGGGAAAAAGAGTCCAAAGGCATCTCCCTCACCCACAGTATTCGTGTTCCAGGTTGCCATCCGAGCACCGCTGTGCCTTGTCTTCTCCAAACAACTCCATTCTGTGCCTTTCCTCACTGCCCTCAGAGGCAGACTAAGTCATCTCAATGTCAAGAAGCAGCCCTCAAAAAACAGCTTTTTTTTTCTCTTTCTGTCCCTGAGGAGCGGGGACAAATCAGTTACTTTCTTAAAAATAAGCTTTTCCATTTTTTTCAAAGACAAAATTTATCAATAGTTTCCTCAGGATCTTGTGATTCTTATCCAGATGAAGACTCAGAGAAGGATATTATGCCCAAGCTAGGATGCAAGTAAGTCAAAATTCCCCAAAAAGTTGTTAAAAATAACCAACCAGAAACCCTTTCTCCACGATGGCCCAACCCTACCACCTCTGCAGATCCAGGACACCTTACTTTTTGGCATGAAATTTCTGTAATTGGCCTGGTTGGTTTGCAGCCCCTGAGTTGTGTCCCCTTAACCACCCTCACATTAGCAGCTCAGGGCCTGGCTTCCAGATTTACAAGCACAGTTTTCTGATCAACCCCATGGGGCTCCGTTTTCTCCTTGGACACCCAGTTCCAGAATTTTGGTCCCTGTTTGGGAAAGAGAAACTCAAATCTTAGGCTGCTAAATTGAATGGGCGTAAGATCTTTGGCTCTATCCTCGATCACGATAAATGTTCTATCATCCCCTCACTTTCATTAATTATAGTTAAAGAACATTTGTTATTCCCCACACTTTCTTGGAACAACATTGATTTATTTTTAGTTTTCTGAAGTCCTTGTTAATAAACATTACTTTTCCTGACCAGGTTCCTCCATTTGATTTCCCTTCCTAAATTAGGTGGAGGGAGGAAAAGTTTGAAACACACGCACTCCAATTTCTGAGACCTTCTGTGGTAAACCTGAACGTATTTTGCTCTGATTTCCACAGAAATGATGCTGTGTTCCGCCATATTTATGCTGGGCCCAACTTTCAGTTTTATGTCCCATGAACACTTACCCCAAATCTGAATAGCAACATTGGCTTAATTTTTGCCAGGTGAAAATTTAATATTAATTTTTGATAGCAATGTCTAAAGCCATCAGGGACTCACTATCCTTTTTCCAAATCTTAATTATTCTACAGGAGAATATCAGGAAGGGCACAGAGGAAATGCCTCATGTTCTGGTGCTTCTGGGAACACCACACCAAGCCAGCTGTACAGTCATAGAATCTTAGATTCATAGAACAGCTTGGGTTGGAAGGGACCTCAAGGGTCATCATGCTCCAACCCTGCTGTTGCGTGCAGGGTCACCAACCTGGCACCAGGCTGCCCAGGGTCTAATTCAACCAGTCCTCATCCATGACCTGAAACACATTAAAAAATGATGGTGGCAAGCCCTTCAAGAAGCCATCTGGTGTTCTCAGCTTAATTCCCTTTGATTACATCTCCAGCCCAGTGGCACCATTAGCAACTTCAATAGGGAGATCCTCTTTAAGCAGAACTTTTAAGTCCAAGTGCACTTTTCAGTATGAGAATACTGCCACTGACTTTGATGGCAGAACCTACAGCTATGCCTGTGGTCCTAACTTGGGACTTGCCAAACTCAAGCTCTCTACCAGTCCTAACAGGAATATGGTGCAACCCCCTGGATATTGAGGCAGCTCTTTGTACCAGGACCTATTCTGTCACTTTCTAAAAGAAGCAGAAAAGGAGGATCATTTTTGTTGTTCTCATTTGGGCCCTAATTCAATTGAGTCACTGCTCCTCCGCTGCCAAAGGTGGAACAGCAGGGCTTAAAAGCTATTTTTTGGTTGTAGTGAGCTTGTGATTTCTTTCCCAGAGGCAACAGAGCCGTACAGTTTAAGATAGCCAGGTACCTGTGTAATGTCAAACACCATGAAGTTCATCGAGCTGCAGCTTTACGAACACTTCTAGACCACAACCTTGTGTGGCTGTGAGGAGGCTGTGAGGCTGAACCTGTGAATGATGAGCAGGGTTTGATTCTGTCATGTGAAGAAAGCCATGAACCACTGAAATTCCCTTTAAAGTGATCTTTGGAGTGGTCTCCACCACAGCTGTTCTGCTCCAGGTTCATTTCAAAGCAACCCCATCCTTATTTCCTCCCCTTTAAGGCACCGGTTTGTTGTTTCTTTCCCCCTGGAAACTAAAGAGTGAATGAAAATTTTCGTATTTGGGATGGCATTAAAAAAAAAAAAGAAAAAAAAAAAAAAAAGGGCAAATAAAGACATTTTAATTGCATGGGATTTTTTGTGCATAAGATTTCAAAATAGGGGGAAAAAGTAGCTACGTGCCTGGTACACAGTGAGCCCTTTCTCTTCCCCTTTGTGTCAGAGGAATCAATGGAATTCATATAAAAGCAGGAGGGGGTGGGAAGAGAGATAGGAGATGCCTTGCTCGGTACCAGCAGGTCACAAGCCTCATGAGGCTGGGGCAGTGCTTGGAAGGCAGTTGCCGGCTCTATCTCCATGTGTAACTTTTTGTTCCTTGCCTTGGATTTGCTGGTCAGTGGCATGCTGCTTTGCCTGGCTCTCTACAGAGCTTGTAGCCTACAGGAATTTGGACAGAGTGGTACAGACATCGCCGACAGAGACTCTGATCACTGTCTATCCCTTTAAATGCAGTCTCATGACTTAGTCTTTACTCCACTACCTATTAAAGAAGGAGACAAGGCGTACATAGACAGCTTCAATTCAGACATCCAGAAGGACTCAGAAAGGCAAGACAATTTAACAGAGCTAACTGTGAGTAAATGCAAAGAATTAGAGGTGATCTCTAGAGCAAAGGGCATGGAGAAAGATTTGTAGGAAATCCTCAAGTGAAAGAAGGTGCAGTGTTTCCTTAAATGTGTTTGCATACGTTGTTCAAAAGGTGAAATTCCGCAAAAAGAAAGAAGCTATTTTGTTGTTTTACCATTTTTCCCTTCAATACAAATCTAAGTGTATCTTAACATAATGTGAACAAATTCTTGATTTCCCATAAAATTCCAAAGCAGTGATTTTGTGCTGCGGGCACCAAAGCCTTTTGCAAATGCAACTTTTTATTCCTTAGTATGAACTGCACAGGAGGAATATCTGGGTGGGAAATTTGAAGGCAGCCTTTTGCAAACATGGATGGAACCTCCAGGCTGGAGCCTGCAGCTGAACACCTGCATCTGTTGAGGGGTGGGCTTCCTTTGGGGAGTGCTGGAAGTGACTCTTTCTCTGGGGATGGAAAGGAGCTGGGGATGCTGGGCAGTGTGGAGAGCACAGAGCTTTCACCAAGGGGTCCCTTCACATTGCAGGTCACTGTTTTATTAATTGAGGAGCACTGTGTCTCCATGTGCTGCACTGGCCAACCATCCTGTATGGGTACAGCATACTAGAAAAGCTTGATTCTTGTTACCCAAGAGTAGTCAGTGTGTCCCTACACCTTATCTTTTAATGGCAACCACTACTGACTAGATACGGGCAGGTGCTTTACCAGCTATCATTAATTGTCTAAGTACCTCTGTTATTAATTGCAGGTATGACTATCTGGTGGAGTGCATTCTCAGCTCACCTTCATGTTGCCCATCGTCTTCTTTGCATTCATCCTTACTTGGTGCTTAAACAAAGGCAACTGCATCTCCTATGATGAGCTGAAGGACCTGAAGATTGAATTTGCAATCAATCTCTACCGCCGTGCCTCTGAAGCAGACAACAGAACCAACTTGGTCATTTCCCCAGCAAGCGTGGCCATTTCTTTGGAGCTGCTGCAGTTTGGAGCTCAAGGAAATACCTTCATGGAGCTGCAGAATGCTCTAGGATACAACGTTCATGGTAATGTACCGCATTAAAATAATACTGATTTCCCTATGTTTTGCAGGAAAGCCTTACTAAGGAGATGACACATGTATGTGTCTAATGAGTTATGTTTTTTTCTACCTCACTGCAAAAATGTAATTTGGAAGTGTTTTCTCTGGATTTGACAGGCAGATGTCAGCATAGACAAAGGACACTCAGTAGACACGCATTATTATTCCTTCTTTTCAAGTACTGCTTACTCTTTCACTGAAGTACAACTGCTCCTAAAGAAGATTCTTCCATGAAAGCAAAACTGATCTTGGTTCCCTAGGGCTTCATGGTGCCTGCTGTGAGCTGGCCTCCACTGTGTCCTCTGCACGGAGATGTCGAGGAGACAACAGTCATTTTGTCTCCTACCCTAATCTCAAATTGAGAAACTGAATTATCTTTAGGACTTATGCCTTTATCCTAGGGTTATTATAACTGGCTGAAAAAATGAAAATTTTCATCTTCTAGCAAAAAAAATTAGAAGAAAATTTAGCAGAAGGTGACTGGCAGGAAATGAGTTGTATGGACAGGTGGATGGCGTGATTATATCTTCCCATGAAAGCAGGCTAAAATAAAAGGCTCTCTGGGAAGAGATATGGAAAAGGCAGATATCTTACAAGCCGGCATGAATCAGCTGAATTTAAGGATGTTGTCTTCCTTTTAATTGTGAATTATCCTACCATCTCACATCACATGTCCAAAACTGTTTGACATTATGGGCACAATGTTTATAAGTAGATGGCTGTCTCATCTTCAAAATTTGTAGCTTATATACAAGACTTATGTAAAGAGATAACACTATTATTTCTCAGCATACAATTTACTTTCGGTATATGAAAACTAAAGATAAGACCTACAGTAATTTCACTGTCCTGTGCTGTAACCTACCTTAGTCATCAATGCCATTCTCCATATCATTGCTATTCAAAACCAATATAGCAGTACAAGCTAATTCTGGCTGATACACTTTCTGTAAATTCGGTAGGGTGATTTTAAACAGCATTAGCTCAGACAGGGATTTTACCTCAGCAATTGCCATGCTTTTTGCTGCATAAAAATTCAATTATTGAGGAGAGAATATTAAGTTAGATAGAATATTGCACATTGAAATTCAAGCACAAATCTCCACACAAGATATAACTATGAGAAGTATAGATATTATTAATGACCTGGTGGCTCTTTTGCACTGTCCTCCTTTTTGTATGTCGCGGAATATCAACTAGACATTCTATCTCTACTTTAATTTCTCTCTAGTTTATGGCATTAGCCATGCGCATTAAGGCTTTTAGCAATATTAATGTATGAATGTGAGAAAAAAGTAGAATTGGATCCATTGTTATTATTCATGATAACACATTTACAGTGGGGGAGAGAGAAATCGTGTCCTCCAATGGTTTACATCTAATAAATAAGTACTTAGCCCAGATTTCATATGAGTAAAAGCAAACTGCTCATATATATATATATATATATATATATATATATATATATATACACATATACGTACAGAGGGTGGTGATGCACTGGAAGGGTGGACCTAGGAGGTTGTGGATGCCCCATCCCTGGAGGCATTCAAGGCCAGGCTGGATGTGGCTCTGGGCAGCCTGGTCTGCTGGTTGGCGACCCTGCACATAGCAGGGGGTTGAAATTAGATGAGCATTGTGGTCCTTTTCAACCCAGGCCATTCTATGATTCTATGATTCTATGATATTCTGTTTTTCCACTAGATATTTGCATTCATATTTTAGTTGGTCCTTCTTTCACAATAATGAAGGATGTGGTTAAAATCTTGGCAGTCTAAAAACAGTGAAAGCATTGATGGTTCATGCACCATTCACAGAGAATCGGCTCTTACGTGCACCCGTAATCTTCTTTTATCACTTGGAAGATTGATTCACCTTTATTCTAATATAAGAAAAGCGGTGTTTAAAGGGATGCCTTGAAAAAAATATAGACAAAATAAAACACTTAAAAATGTTTTCTCCTTGCTGTTTTATGTGATCCATAGTAGAGTATTTTAAAGTAATTTTGAACTGCTTTCTGAGTAAGAATTCAGGACTTTGGTTAGCTAAGTGCTTTGATATGACTGAAATTCCAAGCTCAGGATACCACACCTCACGTTAACATCTGCTTCCAATTTACCATCTTTGATTTCTTTCGTCCTCCAGAGAGCTTGCCAAATGCTCCCACACTAATGCAAAACACACAAAAAAAGCGCTTTACACCTCAAACTGTGTGAGTTTTCTTGACATCTATTCAAGGAGTTCAGTATTTTATCCCTTCAAGAGTAATAGATCTAAGCTTTAATACCAGCCTTCATAGAGGTGATCGGTCTCCCTGCAGGTTATTAGAGGAGCACTGCTAGACAAGAAAACCCACACACTGGATTCTTGGGTGGTAGAAATAGGAAGACATGAAGACATTAAACTTTCCCTTTAGCTCAGCACAAATCTGTACCGATGCAGTAGAAGTCTTCTGATGAGGTGAGGGACCTGGCTGGGAGCTGGAGTGTCACAGTGACATTACCTTTGGCTCGATGCTCAGCATGGGGCAGGTCAATAAAAGCAGGATAGATCCAGCCCACCAAAATTCTTGCTGGATTACCTGCCCCAAATCACTCACGTCCAAATCTGCCTACCCTCAGTGCTGCCTCTGGGAAACTGAGGACTTCCTTCAACAGTCTCCCTGGGGTCAAAAATAACAAAAATAATGTTTCTGACCAGGACCATAACAGTGAGCCCCGTTGTGCCCAGAGTTCCCCAGGCATTTGGCCAAGGCAGAGGAGCACCAAAGCTGATTGCAGCACTCTGCAGAAGCACGGAGCCCAGTACTTATCTCCCTGAAGATGGTGGCCAATAATTTGTACGTAACAGTGAAGACATGTGATGACTATCCACCTAGGGAAATCAGAAAGACCTTGTTGATCCCACAGGCCCAACGGGCAGTAGTGTCTTGCTGAAGAACGGCAATGCTCTACTCCTCGAGGCAGGCTTATTTATAGGAAGAACAACCTGGAGGAAGCTTCCTACAGGGAAGTGAAAAAGTCTAAAAGATGTCATTGGGTGGATGTAGATAAGTCTTCTCCAAGGACTATAGGAAAGGGGCTAACCCACACACTTGGGAAGTCTGAGGCGATGTGGAAAACATCAACATTGCTCAGACTAGGTGCAAGTGCTGAGCCTCAGGCAGCCACTTCAGCATGACTTGTCTCATCACAAACTATTAGAGTGAGCAAATTAATGACAAGAAAAAGAATTGTTAAATCAGGGAAACCTGTTAGAAACTTTGTGATTTTAGAAACACATGGTCCTCCTAAGTTTGGAAGACCCACATCCTTGCTGGCCTACAACATAACCTTGTATCCATCACAGCAACCCCCACCATTGGCCCATTGTGAGTTGCCCAGTAACTGGAGACTGGGGCACTGTTCTGCTGTTTTCATTAGTATTTTGGTCAATCCACTAGGGAATACATTATTGAATCTTTGAATATTCGTAGTTTCTACAAGCATTTTTGAAGGCCTGATTAAAATTCAAAAGGATCTTAGCAAATCAGAGAAATGTGTGAAATGAATAGGACATAATTCAGTAAGCATAATTCAAAATTCTGCATTTAGAAGGAGCAATCATCAGTTCAGGTAAAGAAACTATGAGTTAATGAGCAGGTTTTTTATAAAAGGATTGGAATGGCTCATAAAAATTAAAATTTAAAGAAAAATATTGCATGAAAAATATATTTGTAATTCAGAAAGAACAGAAATCATTGTCATTTGTATAAGAGTCACTTGTGACAGACATCAAGAAATGTCAACTCTATTTAGCATTGTCAGGCCTTATATACAATATAGGATAAGTTTGGGACAGTGTCCTTCAAAACTGAAGGGTTAAGAGTAACAGACAGAGCTGGAGCAGTCAGGGAGATACTATTCCTAGGTTGGATATTCCTATTCTTAGGCTGGATATTAGGAAACACTCATTTACGGAAAGGGTTGTTAAGCACTGGAATAGGCTGCCCAGGGGGGTGTTTGAGTCTCCATCCCTGGATGTGTTCAAAAACTGTTTGGATGTGGTGCTCAGGGACATGACTTAGCAGAGGGTTGTTAGAGTTAGGGTAGTATGGTCAGGTTGTGGTTGGACTTGATGATCTTTAAGGTCTTTTCCAACCTGAGTGATTCTATGACTCCTGAGATGGGTGGCACCACTGATAACATGAGGAAGAGATGTATGACAGTATTGTACCAACAGCAGCACAGCCAGTCACTACTGGAGGATCTCAGTCTCACAGATGAGAACTCAGAGAATGCCCCAAATGAATAAAATTACTTATGAACCACAAGAGCTATATTCACATGCATAACAGTGTGATCATGACACTGCATCAGCCATTTGATATATCTGCACTAGAGTGACTTCTACAGCAGCACAAAGAATTTTCTACGCCCATTGTGTCATTGTGCTCTACAGGAATACCCTATCATGTCAAGGTTACTTCAGCTGTGAAAGTGCTTTAACTTTCAGAGGACAGTGATGCCACCAATAGAGGTCAGAGCCCCTGAGATCTGATGCTTCAACATAATAATTGCAGTTATTCCTTCTCTCTCCCTTGGCAGATCAAAGCGTGCAGGATATGTTACTCAAGGTGTATGAAGGAGCAGCTGACTCTGGCCAGGGTGCTGTGGTGCAGCTGGCATGCTCCCTCTTCACGCACACTGGTGTGCAGCTCTCACCCCACTTTGCTGCACATATCACGCACTGGGCCAACAGCAGCCTTCAGCAAGCTGACTTCACCAACCCCAACCAAACTGCAGCCCAGATACGGGGGTGGATCATTGGTAACATTGCAGGTAGTATAGCAACCCATGAGAATGATTGCACATGAATAAAATGTAAAATAAGAATAACGAGAGAACATTTATTTAACCAAGAATAAAGCTTTTTGCCACACTCCACCTTGCTCAAACCAAGACTCTTAGCTTAGAGAAGAGAAGGCTCCAGAGAGACCTCATTGTGGCCTTCCAGTTCTTGAAGGGAGTGTATAAACGGGAGGGGGAATGGCTGTTTACAAGGGTGGGCAGTGATAGGACAAGGGGAATGGTTTTAAACTGAGACAGGGGAGGTTTAGGTTAGATATTAGGAGGAAGTTTTTCACACAGAGGGTGGTGACGCACTGGAACAGGTTGCCAAGGAGGTTGTGGATGCCCCATCCCTGGAGGCATTCAAGGCCAGGCTGGATGTGGCTCTGGGCAGCCTGGTCTGCTGGTTGGTGACCCTGCACACAGCAGAGGGTTGGAACTGGATGAGCATTGTGGTCCTTTTCAATCCAGGCCATTCTATGATTCTATGCTTCTATGATTCTATGATTCTACGATTGTATGATTCTGTTATTCTGTTATTCTGTGATTTTAAGACTAACAGCCAGGAAATCTCACTCTTGTGCTCATTTCTAATGGGAGGAAGGAGGAAGGAGCCAGAATAAGTCTGAATCTCTGACTGTAAGTTTGCAATATCAAGCCATAAAGTTCTTGGCCTTATTCCTCTGATTTTTAAAATGGGAATCCTTTTCGGTGCTCTCAGTTTTAACGAGGAGCAGCCATACTCCCCTGTGGCCAAGTTTGCTGCACAGAACACTTTCATTGCTGTGGTGGGGAGCATGGAGGGCTGTAAGCCAGACTCTGAAGTTAAAATGTCAAAATAGGAAATGAAAAGAGCTCCACACGAGTAACAAAGGTAGCGAAATCAAATGCGTGTAAATGAAAAAAAAAAATAAATAAATAATTAAAAAAGCAAGTCCTTAGAAGCAGTAAACAAAATAAATCCCTGATTTGCCCCATCAACTTAAATTACTTGAGTGTTAATTTGGGCACTAATACATAATGTGATGTTGAAAGTATACATTAAAGCTGCTAGTCCAAAAAAATTCTATTCTTCTTAAATGAGCTGTAATAATTGATCCAACTTTACAATAAGAAACTTCCTCTAGAAGTAGACACTAAAATGGGAGTCCGTGTTGTGGTACTCACAAGAGTGCCATAGAATCATAGAACTATTAAAGTTGGATAAAAACACAAAAATCATCTTGTCCAACCACCGTCCCTTCCTCATCATGCCTGCTAACCATGTCCCTCACTGCCATATTCACTCTTTCCTTGAACACCTGCAGAGATGGTGAGTCCCACACCTCCCTGGGCAGCCTGTGCCACTGCCTCACCACTCTTTCTGAGGAGAAATTTTTCATAATATTAATCTGAACCTCCCATGGTGCAACTTCAGGCCATTCTCCCTTGTCCTATCTCTATTACCTGGGAGAGGAGGCTGACCCTCACCTTGCACAACCACCTTTCAGAGAGTTGTATATAATAAATTAAAAGTAAATCAGGACTCTGAGATGCCCAAAGCAGACCGAGGTGAACTACTAATTAAATTAGAGAGGGGCAGAATTAGGACATGAGATGCAGATGACTTAGTTACTTCATCAGGGGATCTGTAGTCATGGGTTGATTACATTAGGAATTTCTGGATCTAAAGATGAAAGGCAGCAAAATATGCACTGGCATGTTTATGTGAGAAAATCATCTCCATCTCTCTCCCTTGCAGACAGGGACGTGCACGGTGTGCCTTCTGAGGAAGCTGTGTCACCGCTCAGCCGGGTGGCTGTGGTGAGCACCATGTATTTCAAGAGCACGTGGCTGAAGAAGTTTCCCTTTATGGATACCCAGATCTTGCCTTTTACCACGGCAGAGAGCTCAACCCTGAAAGTACCCACAATGCATCACACAGCTGAAGTTAACTACGGTAACTGCTCTCATTCCAGATTCATAGAGACAGTATTCTCCTTTCAGAGGTTTGAAGTATATGGGCTGTGACACAACAACTTGTGCGGTAGGCTTAATTTTCAACCATGAGGAAATTTACAACCCTTTTTAATATAAAAAGCTCCTTTCCTTCTGCCAGAAATTTGTGAGCTTCACTTGGATAAAAAGCTTTCTAATTCCAAGTCTAAATTTCTTCAAGACCAATTTATATCTTAGTAGTCTTCCAACTTAAATAGTTTATTTCAGCTTTGATATTTGCTCCTAAACATATTTATAAATAAATAATGAAATTGGCTAAAATGAAGATGCCAGGCTCATCTAGTCTTTTCATTAAATAGATACTCCAGTTCTCCAGGAATCTTTTTATGTACTTTTCCAATTCACGTTAATCCTCCCTGAAAGTAAGGGATAAGAAATTTATATCACAATTGTAATGGGTCATATACACACTCAGTATTTTGCTCTGTCTAGGCACTGGAATGGACTGCCCAGGGAGGTGGTGGAGTCACCGAGCCTGGGGGTGTTCAAGGAAAGGCTGGATGTTGTGTTGAGGGACATGGTTTAGTGGGAGCTATTGGGAATAGGTGAACGGTTGGACTGGGTGATCTTTTAGGTCTTTTCCAAACTTGGTGATTCTATGATTCTATGAATCTTTGCTAAAATGCACTGTTTAGCGCATTGAGTGGTTACTCAGGCTGTACCCTACCTGTTCTGTTCTCCCAACATTCCATTTTTTCTTTCAGCTGATGAGTCACAGGTAAATTAAGGGCAAGGAAATCTTAATAAATGCGTGCCTTTTTGTGTTGGCTTCTTGGATACTATGGGATTTCCACCATCCCGGCCATCAAGGTAACCTCACTGTCCATTTTTGATGAAAGTCTTCAGTATTGGCAATGCTTTGAACTCTTTTCAGCATGGGAACCCCACTTTCATCTTAACTAATCTTAATCTCCTCTTCAAGCAGGTGCATTCTATCTTCAATTTCATTTCATTTCATTCATTGGTTCTAGCTACCATCACTTCTACCTGTTAGTAGTGCCATAGTGAATCTGTGTCTAATGTTTTTCCTTAAAATCAGATGGGTGGATCTGTGCCTTTGTACCAAATCAATTACCCAACCAGAAAGATACTAGGACCTGCCTGATGTTGCAGTTTATCTCACTTTCTGTATCCCCCTTTGACTTGTCCATTTGTTTCTCCAGTATATTCTAAACTTTTTCACATGAAGACCTAAAATTTCCCAGACTACTCTATTTTTCTTTATAAATACACTTCCGCTCTCTAGACTCTCATCTAGAGATGCAGACTCTGACTCTGCAGGTTTCTGGAAAATCTTTGCTAACACACTTTCAATTTTCACATTTATTCTCTTTGAATTCTAAAGTGGTAACTACCCAAGACTCAGATTTGTCTCTCTGAAGTAGGTCAAATTTCATTTGCACCCCTGGCATTGCAAGTCCTCTTGTTCTTTCCTCATTCCCATTAGGTACTTCACTGCTCACTGTTATTCAATAATTTATCATCAAGCTAATCCTTTTCTATAATTTCCAGCAAATAATTGGAGATAAATTAAAAAAGAAAAAAAAAAAAAAAAAAAAAAAGAATTCAGTGTTCAGCAGCACCATTCTTTCTTCTTTTTTCTCTTGTTTCCACAGCTAAAGCAGTTTCCTTTTCTGGTCACGTCAAGCAGGCAGTTGGCCATTCATTATTTCTACAGCTCTTTATCTTGGAACCCACCTGTCTGAGGAATCATTCTTTTCCACTTTGCAAGCTTGCTTGTATTGCTGTGGCTTTGTCTGTGGTATTTCCTCTTCAAGAAAACCCGTGGTGTGTCCAACACACTTCTTTCTCCCGTCTCCCGAGGATCACCCGTTCCTGAACACACTCACACATCTGGCTTGGAGTGTTCCTATTCCTCTGGTGCATTCAACTCTTTTAGAAGGGAATTAACTTCAATTTCGAATGAGGAATTTCCTTTTGCAAAACCCAGTGCCTCCTCATCCTCATCACTGAGCAGTGTAAACTACTACATCAGCTCATGGTCAGTCAGCCCTGGGTGATGCTGTATCCCCAGCTAACTGCAGGGTACATGGCTGCTCATGTAGTCTAAAACTACATCACTCTTTGCTCCTTTGTTAGCTATCCAGTTAGACAAAATAGGTTTCTTGGTACTAACACATACCTATCAGCTCAGGAGCAAGCCTTTTCTCTGAATTTTTAGTGGGGTGAGACATAAATGAGAAGTCTAAAATGTCTGAGCCAAATTCTTTGTCATAAGAAATGCTACAGATATTTCCGACTAATTTGTTTAAAAGTCATAAATTCATAGAGTCATCTCATCCAAGCACCAACCCATCCCCACCATGCCTGCTGACCATGTCCATCAGTGCTATATCCACTCTTTTCTTGAACACCTCCAGGGACAGTGACTCCACCACTTCCAATACTTCACCACTCTTTCTGAGAATAAATTTCTCCTGATATCCAAGCTAAATTTCTCCTGGTGCCCCCATCTCACCACAGCATCCTTTCAAGCAGTTATAGTGATAAGGACTCCCCTGAGCCTCCTTTTCTCCACACTGAACAATCCCAGTTCCCTCAGCTGCTCCCCATAAGACTTGTGTTCCAGACCCTTCACAGCTTTATTGTCCTTCCCTGGTCATGCTCCAGGGCCTGGCCAGGGACTGGCCTACTACAACAAAACAGAGATCTGAAATAACTTTCCTTCATTATCAAATTATTGCAGATGTCCACCACCAGGATCGAAAACAAAGATCAAGAAAGTTTAACTGTGGACAATGTTGATTATTTACAGCATTTTTTATCCTTTTAATGTTGCCATGCAGAACAAATCAGCCTGGGATCTATCAATGATGCTAAGAAAGTGTCAAGATTACTATTTGTGCAAGCCTGTTAGGTACTGCAGCTATATTACATGTTCTTTTTTTCAAGCAATTTGTTAACTATATTTGAATACTAATTTAGCTGTGTACCATTCTTATGGGATGTTAAAAATCAGTTCAAGCAAGGAAGGCAAAACATCCCAACTCAATCATACCAAGTCTTTAGTTTTCTTTTTAATTAACAAATAAGGTCTGTATAATCTCTGTAGACATAACAGACTTCAAAATATCATCATATCCACGAATTAAATCACTCCCATCCTGTGCAGAACACAAATCCTCTCTGCAAACCAGAAGAGAATTTGTTTCCACCAAAACAACCCATGTGCTGGGAGATGGTTTTACCAGAGCAGTTCCCTCTCAGCACTGCATGGTGGGGCGGCTGATCTAAGAATATAACATTTCTAGGTTCTAGCAGGACTACCAGCATGCACTGAATGCTATCTAACCCAGATTTGCAAAACTAACAAACATTTTACATGAAATATTTAAGACATTCTATATCTCTGTGCTTATGAGCAGATATTTAGGTATGATGAACAATAACTAAGTATATTCCACTATTTATAAAACTGACTCAAAAAGCATGAGCATCTACCCTCACAAGACACAGCTACTACAGTTCAGTTGGAAGGGAGTAGATTATTTTGAATGGTCTGCAGCAATGGTAATAATAATTCATTTGCTTGTAACCTGTATTTAACTCTTTCTCTGACAACTGATTCTGTGTTTTCCTGAAATGCTATCCATTGGATTTACAGGTGATAAAATAAGAAAGGAAAATAGTGATAATTGGATCTATTCTACTGTGTAACAGTCCATTAAGAATGCTTCGATTATCTGTTCATTGAAATATGGAATTAAAGTCTTTGTTACCACACGTCTAAATAATTACAGGATTGGAAGCCAAACAGCTTTTACCTTTGAGACTGTTTTTTAAAACCTTCATCTGTTTTTGATAGGTTTTTCAGTTTTCAAAATGAATACACTGGGTGCCTTTATAAGTATATGCCCAAATGCTTTACCATTTAATATAGCTGTTGGCCTGAAATAAGATTAAAACTCAATGTTAGTAAAGAAGGAAATACAAGGAAAAGAAGGTTTCAGTTAATTAAATAGTATATATATTTTTTTTTTTAATTGTTTCTTTCAGCAATTAATTTTTAGTGAAAAATACTAGAGGGAAACCATAAGGAATAAAGAAAGCTTATTCAAAGAACAGGCACTGCAGGAACTGTCACCATTCAGTTATTGTCATAGCCTGGCTAATAAACATAGGATAGTCCAAAAGTAATGCCTCCTAATTATTTCCATGGAAACTACAACAGGTAAAAAATAGCACAGTAACACTATTTGATAGAGCAGATTTTGATAAACCAGAGGAGGCTTAACAAAAACAAGTGTAGAGTCTTGCATCCATAATTGCATGCAGCGGTACAGGGTGGGGGATGAGCTGCTGGAGAGGAGCTCTGCGGAGAGGGACCTGGGTGTCCTGGTGGACGACAGGTTGGCCATGAGCCAGCAGTGTGCCCTTGTGGCCAAGAGGGCCAATGGCATCCCGGGGTGCATTAAAAAGAGCGTGGCCAGCTGGTCGAGGGAGGTGATCCTCCCCCTCTACTCTGCCCTGGTAAGGCCTCATCTGGAGTACTGTGTCCAGTTCTGGGCTCCCCAGTACAAAACAGTCAGGGATCTCTTGGAAAGAGTCCAGCGGAAGGTCACAAAGATGGTGAAGGGCCTGGAGCATCTCTGCTATGAAGAAAGGCTGAGTGAACTGGGTCTGTTCAGCCTTGAGAAAAGAAGACTGAGAGGGGACCTGATCCAGGTCTATAAATATCTAAGGTGTGGGGGGCACAATGGCGAGGCCAGACTCTTTTCAGCAGTGTGTGGAGACAGGACAAGGGGGAACGGCCGGAAACTGCAGCATAGGAAGTTCCACACAAATGTGCACAAGAACTTCTTTGCAGTGAGGGGACGGAGCACTGGAACAGGCTGCCCAGGGGGATTGTGGAGTCTCCTTCTCTGGAGATGTTCAAGACCTGCCTGGACGCCTACCTGTGCGACCTGCTGTAGGGAACCTGCTTTGGCAGGGGGGTGGGACTCCGTGATCTCTGGAGGTCCCTTCCAACCCCTACAATTCTGTGATTCTGTGATTCTCAGCTACAAAAAACTATTTTTCAGCCAATCAGCTCTGCTCACATGAGCTGGTGTAGTGAGCTATAGGTGACCTGAGCTGAGCCCACGCATCACAGACAACTCCTTGCAGTCCACTGCTGTTCTGAACCATTGGCTTCCCCACGCTTGTTTTTTTGAGGTGTGACTGTTGTTTTCTTTTTTATTTTAATGATGACATAAGATCTATATTCACATAAATACAGGTCAGTTCCAGACAACGACTCAGGATGCTTTCAGTGTCGTTGAGTTACCCTACCTAGGGGAGAAACTCAGCATGTTCATAGTGCTTCCAAGCCACAAACGAACACCTTTGTCCCAGATTGAGTCTCATCTTTCTGCCAAAACCATAACACTCTGGTCCAGCAGCTTAAAGAGGATGAAGATGGATATTTTTCTACCTAGGTAAGCAATTCTGTTCCTCTGAGATGACTTCACTACTCCTGTTGCCAGAATTACGTGTGATAACAATGATACGCACAACCTGCAGGACGGAACCAAATTAGGTGCTTTGGTTCACAATACTCTCCATGTGAAAATATCACTCATAATACATTCTCCACGTGAAAAACAATTTGTACATTAATACTCATCTCCTCCAAGATAATTTTCAGAAACAATTCAAAGAGCCCTTTTGCTACGGCCAAATAGAATGTTAAAGAGAGTGTGTTCAGGAATACGTGAAGTTCACATGTCAAGAACATTGAGAGGTAGTATGATTGCAGTAGAGAGAGGTGAGGGATTCTTGCTGTTAACGTCTTCAAGTGAAGAGCAGTTGCTTCTCTGGAAAGTGTGCTTAATCAAGAAGAAAGCATTGGGCTCACGCTGAAAGAGATGAAGTGCAAAGGCTTGAAATAAATTGCATGTTCCACCTTTTAGCTTTATGAAACTATGAATCCTGCATTTAAATTACATTTTTCATCTTAATTTCAGGTTTAGTATTCAAAGCCTTTTTGATCTAAAGACAGTTTTTTCTGCCTTGGGAATTAGAGATGCATTTGATCCCACCACTGCTAATTTTAAAGGCATTTCAGGTAAGAGGCTTGAGTGAATACAAAGTGATAATTGACCCAACACGTATAGACTCTGAGATAATATTGAAGAGATTCGGCAGACTCAGGTGTTCTTTATTGATTGTACTTCTTTTTCTGTGAACTCCAAAACAAAATTCCTATTCAATCGACCTACTTTATTATTGATAATTGCTATTGGCATGGATGGCCTGGGAAGAATATAGGGGCACCATCCAGATGTGCATGGAGGGATAGGACTAGGAAAGCTAAGGCACAGATGGTACTGAATGTCTGGAGGGGCCTGCAAAAACGCAAGGGATTCTTTAGATACATTGGGTAGAAGAGGCTGAGGTTCTCAAGGAATTATCTGCCTCATGGCCAGTCAGGCTTCTCACACCTGAACTTCTACATGTATGTGTGTGTGGAGGGGCAGGGTGGGAGGCAAAATCCCTCCCACTGTAAGAGCAGAGCAAGACTGAGTCTGCCTCATGATGCTGATTTGTCTACAAGCCCATGGGGCTGGATGACATGCAACCCAGGGTCCCAAGGGAGCTGACTGACGTGGTTGTCAAGATGCTCTCCATCATGTTTGAAAAGTCCTGGCTGTCAGGCAATGTCTGGAAAAAGGGAAACATCGCTCCCATTTTTAAGAAAGGAAGGAAGAAGGATCCAGGGAACTAGAGGCCAGTGAGGCTCATCTCTATGCTTGGGAAGATCACGGAGTAGATTCTCCTGCAAGAGATATTAAGGCACATGCATTCAATACACCATTGTCCAAATGGTGGGAAAATATCTATATAGACTAAAGAACAGACAGATGAAGGTAAAAATGAGAGAGAAGAGTATTCACAGCAGTGACTTAAAGTTTCCTGAAAGTCTCCCTAATCAAAGAGGCACACAAATCTGTGTGTTGCTACTTATGGTCTGGAAGTCCTCATCTCTCTCCATCAGCAATAGAGATTTGCTGTCTTCACTAGAGTAAAGTAACTTGATGTTGCCTTCCTCATGCATTGTCTCACTCTAAAGATGTTTCTATATTGTGTCAAGTGATGTTCTTCTGCAGCCTGAACATGTAACAGAGGATATTTCCAGGCAGAAAGACGCAAGACAAACACAAGGGTTTTGATTTACTCTCCAATTTACCTGCGCTTGGAGAATGCTGATCCAAAAACCCCACAGCCCTATTATTACAGCTATGGACTGAGCAAAGAAATCCTTGACATAGACCTGGCTCAGATGTTTGGGCTGTCTGTATTTATCCCTGCCAGACACATGCATGAAAAATCCTCTGGCCCAGCTCACCTTCAGCACAGTTTAGATTCAGCCTAAGACCTCTAGATTCTGCAGGAAAAAAGAACAAAAATTTAAAAAGGTAAAAGCGTTATTGAATGAATAAAATAAAAATGGTGTTCACAATAAAATGCATGACAACATTATTAATATTCACCTGATGGGTTGGTTCGTTTTGTAGAGCAAGCTGGCCTTTATATTTCAGAAGCTATTCACCATGCAAAGATTGAAGTAACAGAGGATGGCACAAAGGCATCAGGAGCTACAGGTAAATCATACATATAAGTGTTACTTTTCACCCCTGCAGCTTGTCACCACAGCAACAACTGCTCATCACAAAACTGCTTCACAAAAGTATGTCAGCATTTAGAAGCACACCCACTCCAAATGCAAACATTTGTATTGAACATTTCTATTTCACCTTTATAATTGCACATAGGAACTCTTAAACCTCTTCCCATTCCATGTTTGATGTTAGACTAACATGCAAATGCTCAGGTGAAATCCAACTTTACCAGCCCAGGAAAAATCCAGTTTAACAAAATAAAGCATTTTTTCTGTTGGTTAAACAGGATCATAGAAAATCCTGAGCTGTATAGGACACACAAGGTTCACTGAGTCCAACTCCTGACTCCACACACCACCACCCAAACCAATCTCTTTGTTCAGATCTCAAAAATCAAAGCATGAAAGAGGTTATTATCTGTTCATCTATAGCTCCTACACTGTGACAGGGTTTGTTTCTGAAGACAGTCCCATTGGTACCTTGAAAGTTCATGAAGTGAAAGTTTTGTCGTCTTCAATGCATTCTAGGCTTTTTTCTAACATCAGAACAGTGATATTTGTGCACAGACATTTGTTTCCCAGACACTTTACATGTGAGCAGTCAGGGCCAGTTCAGCAGGGACATTCCAAGTAAAATCTCAGCTCTGGACTACAGAGTTAATAACTCACCTCTGTGAGCTAAATGACATTTTCTTAGAAATCCTCCATCACAACATAAACGTACAACAGGGAAACTGAGCTGTGCAATCCCCATTTCCTTTAAAGAAAAACAATATTAAAAAGTCACACGAGCTATATTGAAGCCCCTTTAATCTTCATCTTTGTAAGGACTTCAGTGTTTTCAGTGCTAATATTTTCGTAGAATCATACAATCGCAGAATGGCCTGGGACCACAATGATCATCCAGTTTCAACCCCCTGCTGTGTGCAGGGTCACCAACCACCAGACCAGGCTGCCCAGAGCCACATCCAGCCTGGCCTTGAATGCCTGCAGGGATGGGGCATCCACAGCCTCCTTGGGCAACCTGTTCCAGTGCATCACCACCCTCTGTGTGAAAAACTTCCTCCTGATATCTAACCTAAACCTCCCCTGTCTCAGTTCAAAACCATTCCCCTTGTCCTATCACTGTCCACCCTCATAAACAGCTGTTCCCCTCCTGTTTATCTTCACCCAGTTTGTATAAACACCTGGGATTGCCCTGACCCAAGTGCAGCACCCTGCACTTGGTCTTGTTGAACCTCATTAGATGTTCAAGGGCCCACTTCTCCAGCCAGTCTTGGTCCCTCTGGACTTAAGACATCATTTTTTTTCCAGGAAATTCCTAACTTCTAGGCTTCCATTACATACCAAGGAGTAAGGGCAACCTGACCTAGTGCCGGAGCTAGTGGGTGGCAGCCCTGCCCATGGCAGGGGTTGGAACTGGATGATCTTTGAGATCCCTTCTAACCCAAGCCATTCTGTGGATCTAAGGTTAATAGCAGTCAGACAGCATTACACCTTTATTCCATTGAAATCAATGCTGGAACGTCCATGAATTCCCATCAGACCAAGCAAAGAAGCTGGTTTACAAAAAGTCTGACTATGCTCATTGCTTGATATTAGAAACACAGCATCCAGACACACAGTGGCTTTGAAGTTGAAGTTGCTTTTTGTTTTAGGAGCACTGAAATAGTGCCACTCAAATTCACGTTATTGAGCCTTACTCAAATTTTCCATTGAATTCTGTTGCTTTAAATGCTCATTACAATTATCCAAGTTTTCAGTTTTGTCAATATAGTCAATACTACATAGCTGCAAGGCAGAGTTGATTTGAACAAGGCTTATAATTGCTTCTAAGCAATCATAATTTTACAGACTATTTAAGCACTCCCATACAGCGCTTTGAAGATACTCAGTCTTTGCTGTGAGCTCTGGCTAATTTCAGGAAGATATAAGTATTTATTTGCTGTTTCCCATTTAGAAGAGGGGATTACATTTGTGCCTTGCTCATCTTTTGACTGGAACAGCAGGGGTAGGGATTGGCTTAAGGGTAACAGCACAGCATGACTTGGGCAGAGCTACAACTGTGGCAACAGCAATTGTTACCTTTGCAATCCAAACCAGGCTGACTCACCTCAGCAATACGCATGTGTCCCATCTGCTCACAATCACACAACTTGTTCATTCATCCCCACTGATTTCTCTACAGGACAAAATCACTGGTTTACTCTTAGAGTAGCAGCTAAGGCTCTGGGGTTTGGTACTGTGAGTTTTGAGGACACAGCACAGAAGATGGAATGAAAATTGATGCATTTTACTAATGTCTTCTTAATTGCATTACAGCAATGCTACTACTGAAAAGATCTCGGACACCTATTTTCAAAGCAGACAGACCTTTCACTTTTTTCCTGAGACAAGCCAACACAGGTACGTACACAAGCTTTCTGATTCAGCAGCAGAATCGTTCACAAGCAGCACCAAAATTGGTAAGAAGCTTGTCGTGCATCTTTAGTCCGGGACATTTCAACAGCCAGGAATAGTGAGTTTAGATTTTAAAGCACACATAAGGAATAGTTTAATTTCCTTTAAAATATATAATAAAAAAAGGAGAGTCAAGTCAGGAAAGGCAAATTAACTTCTATCTCTGTACATAGATTAGTGATAGGACAAGGGGGGTGGGTGGTTTTAAACTAAAGGAAGGGAAATTTAGAAGTCAGGAGGAAGTTCTTTACTGAGAGAGTGGTGAGGCACTGGAACAGGCTGCCCAGAGAGGCTGTGGATGCTCTGTCCCCAGAGGTGTTCAAGGCCAGGTTGGATGGGGCCCTGGGCAGCCTGATCTAGTACTGATCTAGCAGCTGGCAATCCTGCATGTGGCAGGAGGGTTGGAGCTTGATGATCCTTGAGGTCCCTTCCAACCCAAGCTACTCTACGGTTCTATGATTCTATAATTTCTACTATGGTAAGCACCAGAAGTACATAAAGACCTTAAATGCCCCAGCATGGGAAACAGAATTCCGCAAGGCAATTGAAATCCCAAATGGGCAGCAGAGGTAGCTGAAGTTAAAATACAATTTTTTCCTCTACAAAAGAAACTTATTCACGCCTGCACAGGTGGCACGCAGCAAATTGACTTCTGAGCACAAGCAGCAGGACTCCACAGCCTGAAATTCCCTGTTTTAGCACTACCTCAGCAGTATGAAGGGGCATAGCTCAGCAGTTCAGCAAACTAAAGCCTTCCACCCAGCTCCAGTTCCAAATATACATAAGTTTCTCTCCTCTTGTATCGAATACCAACATCTTTGAGGAGACTCTTCTTCCCTGCTTCACGTTCTCCTGAAACATCCAGGTTCTCAAATGCCATGGAAGCGCACTGGATGTCACTAACAGACTGAGACCATGGCTCTGCAGAAAGCCTACAACTTGTGCATTCACTTTGGCAATCATTTTCAAGATGCAGTAAAACAGTTTGGAGCCTGCCTAAAAAGATGCGAGGAAGTTATTTTCCTTAATTGCTTATAGCAGATAATTATGTTCATTGCCTGTAAATGCCCACATAATTAATACTCAGCTTTACAGATTCTGATAAATCAAAGCATGTGTATTAAGCAAAGGCAAAAATTAGGAAAAAAAGGCACTGAAATAAATCCGGCCCACAATTAAGGACTCCTCAGGATTAAGACCAAACAGTAATTTCAGGGAATAAATTTGCTCACTTTACAGTGTATGATAAATCGCATGGAAAGGAAATGCAATTGTACAATAAGATCCTTATGTGACTGAAGTGTATGTATTATTGTGCTGCAACTCAAAACTCAGAAGTACACTTAATATTTCCAATGGAAAAAAAAAAAAAAGGAAACCCAAAAACATTGTCATTGTATTTGTTCAGGCAGAGTAAATGAAGTTTTTCCACTGGGAAAATAGCAGAGTTGTATTACTCTGTTCAGAAGGGATTCTTTAGGATGTGTCCTGAGGATCAACCTGGTCAGGTTACTATTTGGAAACACTTATCTGTTTTCAGTACAGTAATGGTCAAATTATTCTAAGGAAAGCATGTCATTGCTAAATCAATTTTTCCATATAATGAAGAATTTCAATTCTGCTACTTCTGTGCTTCGAAAACTTGGTCCCAATTTTAACACTCTTTTCTTTTACAGGCTCAGTACTCTTTATAGGAAGAGTTACAAATCCTTCATAATAAATTCTAGTCAAATACCATCTTCTGTTCTTCCTATGGCAAACTTCTCTCGGATGAAATTAAAGGCTACGTTATATATGTATTTATTAAAATGTTCTTGCTTCTTGCAAAAATGTTAAGTCCTCTGCTACATTATTACTTTATACATACTGTAGTAATCATGGAAAGGCCTGGGTTGAAAAGGACCACAATGCTCATCCAGCTTCATCCCCCTGCTATGTGCAGGGTTGCCAACCAGCAGACCAGGCTGCCCAGAGCCACATCCAGCCTGGCCTTGAATGCCTCCAGGGATGGGGCATCCACAGCCTCCTTGGGCAACCTGTTCCAGTGCATCACCACCCTCAGAGTGAAAAACTTCCTCCTAATATCTCACCTGAACCTTCCTTTAGTTTGAAACCATTCCCCCTTTGTCCAATGACTACCAACCCATGTAAACAGTCATTCCCCCTCTTGTTTAATACACTCCCTCCAAGTACTGCAAGGGAACTTAGACCTGTCTGGAAAAAACTAGCACCACAACTACAGCAAAGACTAAACATACATCTTAGAGGAAAAACTGAACAGATTTCACCACTGAACTACTTAAGAACCTGGGCCACAGCTTCTGCTTGACATCATCCTGTTGGCAGGTGCTGGGCTAATCAGCCAGACCCATTCAGAATGCAAGGGATCTAAAAGGGAATGTTCCACAAGAAAGAAGTTAGGAGCACTTAGCAAAGATGAAAGATAGGGCCAATAAAGTGATGCTGTACGCCCAGGATGGCTGGACTGTTCATCCTACCATAGTCACAATCCTGCTTTCACCTCAGTAGCTTTTAATGAAGAACAGAATATTCAGTGACACAAACCTGCTCAGCATTCAGTATCAGGCTAACACTGAAAAATGGAAATTCCCTAAAAGCAAGGCAAAATGAACCATTCCAGTATAAACTGAACTGAATCCCACACAAACATTAAAATAGAGCTTTTATTGATGGAATAACAAAAGTGCTTTTCTTAAATATTTTTCAAAATACATTTATACAACTTACAATAATATATCCAAAATAACTGTATATACAAAACATTACCTTGCTTTATGTATGTGCTTTTTTTTTTCTGAAAATTACAAATCAACTTTTTGGCAAAGTTCAACCTTAAGAGGTGATAGTTTTGAAGGTTAGAATAAGAAAATAGAACCTGAGGGAAAGTGACACTTGAGTCCATGGACAGACAAGGAGTTCTCCATTTAGTTAAATAAAAATGCTTTAGTGATATTTTTCACATTACAAAAATAACAGAAAAGAAGAAAAAATGATGATGGATGCTTTTCTCATCTTCTTACAGAGCAGCTTCTCATTCTTTCATATACAGATAAGAGTGCATGTCAAAAATGAATGCAAGTAAGAACAGCAGTGCCCTGCTGTGGTTCTGGTGTGCAGTTCCTTAGCTGCTGTTGATATGGTTCACCTGATTGGATCTGCGATGGATTTCTTCCAGAAAACTCTCCAGCTGTTCTATCAGCATTCGTTTTTTAAACCTGTATTTGGAACAAGGCATTAATGAATGCACATAATACATCAAGTATCATTAGCAGAGCTTTTACTGAACTATCCTTTTAGGTACACTGCATGATGGCATTGCATGTACTGCTGCTTACCAGAACTTCAGGAAACTACTAACTTGCTTCTCCATTTTGTGAGAGAACACAAACCAGGGTTACTACAGATCTGTCCTATTGTGTGGTTAAACATCACTCAGCCTTCATAACACCAGAAAAATATTGTTTTCTATTTCCAGAAGTTCTAAGGTAAAGAAAACATATGAAAGAACTACAATCCTAAAGGTAGCAGCAGCTTTTAGGGATTATTTGCATGCCTTCATGGCACAATCACAGAGGAGACTTTGGTTCTGATGGCAAAATAGCCATCACACAGCACAGAGCATGTTTCAAGATGATGAGAAAATACAAATTAAAAGTTTGAGAGAAACTGAAGAAAATATAGATGTAAACCATACTTGGAGTCTCTGTACTTTCATTCCCCACAGAGTACAGAAATTTGAGCATGAGAACATTGTCTCCTTTGCTCAAACCACTGTCTTGCAGCATGCTGTTCCTTGTTGCTTCCAGCTAACCCTACCCTTGTGACATTTCTGCATTCAAGAAGCAACTTCTGACCAATGCTTTGGCAGCTCAAAGCAGCAATGAAAGGATCACACACTTTCTCAACTCAGCACTATTCTGAACTGTACTCTGAGTTCAGTACTATGATCTTATTAAATTCTGGCAAAAGTATGTGGTTCCCAAGCAGGCCTCCCAGTCCGTGCCTGTTCCTCACAAACGTGCATCTGCCCTAATTCCCAAAGTGCAGACTTCCCCACAATCCCAGTTGGACTATGGGGAAACAGAACTCCCATTCCCAATCACTATCTCTTGGAACATCCATGCTATAGGTATTTTTCCATCCTTTTCATCATGGTTCCCAGTAACTCATAACAGACCCACCCTCCAAGTACTGCTTCACTTCCATTCATCATTGCTTCCCTGATTCTTATTTGTTGCAAAGTATCAACCTGGGAAACATGGAACTAACTCCTCATTTGCCCAAATAAAAGCCAAATAATTTAAGCTAATAGCAAAGTACTTTGTTACATAGCATATCCTAATAAAAATTCAGCATGTTTATATTCAGTGTCAGTACTCTGAGAAGTAACAATGTTGAAGTCCATTTGAAGCAGCTGTACAAGCTAACAGGAGATACTTCCTAGAAATTAAGCCTGGCGAAAGGTGGGAAATACAGACTATTAATTTACCACATCAGTGTGAATCCTTGTGCCAACAGAGCAGCACACTATGGCCAGCCCTACAATACATGTCCCAGGCTCTTCTTCCAAATGCTAAACACTATATAGCATGCAGTTTTCTCAGGACAACAGAAATATTTCACCATAGCAACTGATACTGTAATTAACATAATTAAGCATCAACTCTTCCTAACTTACCTGTCAACTCTGCCAAAAAACGCAGAGCTTCCTGATTTTTCTAGGTAAAAACTTCTCAGGTAACTGCAGCTACTGAGCATTAATGTTCATTATTATTTTGAGGTTGTATTAATTCTTTCCAGCACTTATACTACAAATGGATATTGTTTAGCATTTTCTTTAGGTAGACACATCAGATTTTATGTATTTAATAGCTTAATATTCTCTGTTTAGAAAACAAAAGAATACTGAGAAGTTGTCAATTTGGAGAATTTTGATCCACATTTTGTCAGTTTTTGCTCTAGACTAAAGGGTGCTGGATAATCTCATCTAGATTCCCTTTTCCCACAAAGTCTGGGAACCTTTTGAAGTCACTTCCAACTTAGGCTATTACATGATTCCACAGTTCTATTTAGCAGAGAGTATTTAGTGCTGAGACCATAAATAGATTGTTATGCCAGCTCCAGAAAACATTGAGGACCTCTCACTTTCCCTGTCTAATTCCTCCTATTCCTTCGCTATATCACTTTTTCTGTGCTAGGTTCTAAAGCCATCTATTAGGAATTTGCTGTTCAACAAGGACTCCTTACAATTGCTACTCATACCCACCCCCTGCTGAGCCAGAAGTTTACCACCAGCTATAAAAGAGTCAGCAGAATCGAAATTTGACATTGAGATGTGGAATCTCCTCAACATTTCACAGTCAACCGGGAAAAAATAGAATCTATTATGCCCCTCACCTTGGTTTTTGCCTTTTAAAAATGATAGCTTTATTTGTTCCCAATTTCTGCAGCATCTTTTGCAAGATGCATCCCTGACTTTCACTAAGTAGTAGAAGAACTACATGGCAAACCATTCCCAAAGGAAGAAGAAAACCCTAGATTATTTTAGACATCTCCTCTCATAACATTCTTTTGGATTAAGTTCCAGAACTGAATGGAAACTGTTTTTAAACACAGGCTTTCTTGCTGCACTGCTCAAGAACTTTCCTAAGTCTCTGTTATAACAGAGCTCCTTGGAGCAGGGAAACAGACCAAGCACTCCAAACTTGAACTGCATGCTGTGTCATCACAGGAATCAGCTACCAGTTAGCAAAACTTAACCATCTTAACTGCAAAGAACTGGGACATGTTTCCTACAGGGAGCAGGGAATTTTGGTTAAGAGTGATAGCTTGCCTGGATAAGGGCAGAAGCACCCAGAGACAGAACTGCACAGAGATTGTAGGTAGTGTTATCCAGGTGGATAACATGACTGCATTATAATCACCTAACCTAGGAGGAAAAAAAAAAGGAGGGAAGGATTAAGCTGCTTTTACGTACAAACTAATAATATTTACAACAGTCCAAAAGAAATCAAATTGGCAAGTTTTTCTACCAGTAGATAGAAAAAATTGTTGGCTATGGTGACACACAGGATTTAGATCTGATGCATCTGACAGCAAGACAACTGCTCCCAAGTTTGTAGGCAAAGAGTCAACGTGAGATACTGGAATAGACAAGCTGTGCAACAGAAACAAGAATTACAGTGGCTCCAAAGAGTCAAATTTCAGAGGCACAAATATTCCAACCTCACTAAGGGCTGCCAAAGACTACAGGAGAAACAGTATCATATTGGTGACAGTGAGGAAGCATGTGTAATCTACAGACTATGGAACAGCTTTGACAGGTGATAAAACATGAGAGAGATCAAGCAAAAGCACGATAAAGAATTACTGCTAAAGGAAAAACATTATCTAAATCAATATGACCCACTGTGCTGGCAGTACAATGCTAGAGAAGCTCTATAAATGTCCAATATTCAGTGTACATTGAACTCCCAAGCACAGTTTTACACAACGATCACTGATTTTTATTTAATCAAGATGTGAGCAATAATACCACAGGAAAAAAAAAAAAAGAATTCTAAGGAAACACAGGAGGATGAAAAACTATTCACTCAAGCAATCCTCAAAGTTACACAGCCTAAATAATGTTTAAATCCTTAATTCCTTTTAAATCCAACACTCTTGATTCCAATCATAACTTCCTGTTTTTCCTTT